GCGGCTGTCCTGTACCTGCAATCAATCCAGAGCGATCGATAGTTGAAACCAGCTTCGATACCACCTGCACCAAATCAGATGACTGGGTGCCCACAGCATGCACACCCCTTCCTGGTGCTCGTCTCGATCTTCTAGCAGTTCCCCAATCATACCCGTTCTCTGCCATCTCCTCAAAGAGTTGATTCAGCTGTGGCGGTGTTTTGGTCATCATGTTCCCGCCACAAACCGAGTCAATCAGCTGCTTGTCCTCCGGGAAGAGGGCATGATAGAAGGTGCCCACCTTGAAAGCATCATTGAAGCCATGATTGGGACACCTGAGGAAAAGACTGGTGTATCTCTCCCAAGCATCCCTGATGGTCTCATCCTCATCCTGAGCAAAATGGGTAATTTGCTTCTGCAGGTCAGCCGTCTTGGATGGAGGATGGTAGCGGGTGAGGAACTTGTTCGCCAGATTGGCGAACGTGGTGATAGAGCCCAGAGGTCGAGTGTCTAGCCACTCCTTTGCCTGTCCCTCCAGAGTAAATGGGAAGTACCTCAGCTGGATGGCATCTGCTGGGCCCCCATTTATCTTGATTCCATCAATCAGCTCGTGGAATCTCCTCAAATGCGATCGGGGGCACTCACCCTCCTTGCCACGGAACACCACTGAACCGCGCAACATGGTGATTACTGAGGTGCTCACCTCAAAATTGTTGGCTGGGACATGAGGGTGTTGAATGGGTGACCTCATGTCCGCGGCTCTGGCGGTCCAGTAGGATCCCATGGTCTGATCCTCTGGATTGATCACATCCTGGTTCTGTGGATCAGCCATCTCCTCTTCATTCGTGATCTGCAGCTGTGATAGAGCCTCCTCCGCAGCCAGTCGCGCCTTTAGAGCCCGCTTGAAGTTCCTGCAGGTTCGTTCAAGCTCCTGGTCTAATGGTAGTAGATCTCCCGACTGGCTACGGGTCATGGACTACCTGCACACAATCAGCAGAAGCAACCCGTGAAGGCACACAGGTGAAAGAGAAAACAATGCAGTAAAGAAAAAACTAGAGTAACAAATTCTCACGTTTCCCCAATAACCTAGAGGGTCCCCGGCAACGGCGCCAAAAACTTGACACGCCAAAACACAACACCAAACTGCGACGTGTAATCGCAGTCCGGGAATGCAGCAACAGGCAAGTTCTATTATCAACCCGGGGTCTAGATCTACTGCTTACTCCGTGATTATCTAAACTAAGTCGAATGATTTGTGTTTAAAGTAAAAGCAGTGAAAAGCAGGAAATGATTCGGTTTTCTCAAGTAGGGAAGAGTCACTCGGGAAATGAGTCCCCCTCGCTCCTTAGTTAGGTTCAATTGTAATTACCCTGGGTTGATTTACTGTTGATTAGACTGCAGAAGATCCGACAGTAGCTTGGAATCTCTTAAGCTGACCAAGCCCTCTCAGTCTAACTACCCGGCAGACGACTAGTCTTCACCGGGATAGAAAGCTGAAGCAATGAGCACAGAACTCCACTACTGGAATTGGATTCCAGTACAAAGCAGTAGACTGGCTACTATAACCAATCTCCTACTATCGAATGAAGAAGCTCTAACAACCTAATCAGATTCTATCTATCTCAGGTTGCAGCAGAAATCAAGAAAAGCTGATCAGACTTCAATCAATTCAATAAAACATGCATCATTCGATTAAAACCAAACAGTATAATCATCCCAAGTCATTACAATCAAATCCCTAACACATGGAACTAGGGTTCTTCATACTCAAGTGAGAGAAGGGTTCTACTCCATAGAGAGAGAGAGAGGAAAATAGGATACAAAGCAGTCATACTCATAACAATGGGAAGAATCTGCTCTGGGATGATGATTTCCCCTCCTATGACGATCTCCAAGCTCGATTTGATGAAACCCAGCTCCAAGATAGCTTCTAGGATGTGTTCTTCGCACTTTCTCTCTCTAGGGCTCTGTTTTTGCTCTGAAAATCCGATTCTCTCACTTGTGGCTCGGAATTGGGTAAAAACCAAGATTTTCCGACTCACACGGGCAGGCCACACGGCCGTGTGGTTCAAAACGCGGCGTATCGATTAGTTGAATTTCAGGCTTCCCACACGGCCAGGGTCACACGGCCGTGTGGAATTTCCATCCTGCCCGTGTTTGCTCTCGGCACAAACCACACGGTCACAAGGGTGAGTTGCACGGCCGTGTGGTGTCCAGGAATGCCCGTGTGGCTTCCTTAGCACCTCGCCACGCGTCCGATCTTCGTCCAATCGACCCCAAACTCGCTCCCAAGCCTCCATTCACGTACTAGGACCTGAAATATCACAAACAAGCACAACCTAGCGTGAAATCGGCCTAAAACACGAGAAACCACATCTCAAATGGTGTAAGAACAGGGGTAAAAACATGTGTAATTAACGGTCTATCAGTAACGGTCACAATGTTGACATATGGCATGAAAAATGGGTGCCCATAGCGGTGAACTACAAAGTTGAATCATTCCAAACCCTTTTTGCTCCCACTACATCCGTCTATGAGCTTATGGACTTGGAAAACATGATTTGGAAATATTCTATGCTTCAATCTCGCTTCACTCCCATTGATAGACAACAAATTCTCAAGATTCAAATACCAAGACAACTAGCTGAAGGCAAAACAATTTGGGCTTTTGAAAAATCAGGAAGGTATTCAGTCAAATCGGCTTACTACCATTGGTTTAACATACATGAAGACGAGGTGGGCGAACTCTATACACCTATTGACTGGGATCGAATTTGGAAACTTACTATTCTCCCTAAGGTAAAGATCTTTGCGTGGAGATGGATAAAAAATGTTCTCCCTACTGGAGCAAACATCGTTGATTGAATTGATAAAGAATGTGACGAATGCCCCTTCTGTGGGCTAAAGGAAACCCAGAAGCATCTCTTCCAGGAATGCAGATGGGTTCGAAGGGTTTGGGGTCCTAGTTCACTCAGACAGATGTTTGAAGTAGAGCAGAACATTACCTATGAGGAGTGGATGGTGGAGCTTCAAGCGACAGTCTCCGACAATCAGATTGGGAAGTTCCTCGTGGCGCTCTCGTTCATCTGGGAAGAACGAAATAGTCAGCTATGGATTAAGAAGAAATTAGAAGAGTTCGAGATTATGGGTAAAGCAGGCGATGATTATCAGAATAACTTGAATACCAACAGAAGAAGATGGATGGTCAGGAGTAGGGGGAGCACCGCTGGATACCCCCTTCGATGGTTTCCAATGTGAATATTGGCGCTGCATGCTTTGAGGGAGAGGGATCTGGATTTGGTCTGGTGATAAGGGACAAGGAGAGCAATTTATGCCTCACCGCAATGAGAAGAAGCCGGATCCAATGGTCACCGGAGATGGCGGAGTGTATGGCAATATGGTTGGGGATTGATTTGGCGGTGGAAAATTATTTCAGTCCATATGAAATAGAGACAGATTGCCTGATTGCAGTTCAGAAGATTCAGAAGGAGGAAATGGCGCTGACGGAAGAGGGGATCGCCTGTGATGAGTTGAGAGAAAGGATCAAGGATTTGGGCTCGGTCCAGGTAGTGTTCTTGGGTCGGGCCAATAATACAGCTGCTCATCTTATGGCTCATACATCCTGTTAGGGGTGTTGAAACGGTTTGGTTACCATGGTAACCATATTAACCAGTACTATTTGGATAATTTGGTTTGGTTAATTTGGATAATTGGTTTGGTTTGGTTAAAGTTTTTAGCTTGTTTGGTTTAGGTGGTTTGGTTTGGATTCAGACACTCCTAACCAGTCAAACCAAATTAACCAGTTAAGTAATTAGTCATATATCTAACATATATTATATACACATACTTAATACTTTGCATAACCACTCAAGAGTTAATGTTCATCCCTTTTAGACTCATAAAATATAAAGCTCAATATTGCTCATATAGTGTATATTTGTATATGTAAAGTGTAGACCACAACATATGGACGCCTAATTTAGATAAATTTCATACATTATGATGGATGAAAACTTGAAAGAAATGTCATTTCCAGCCTATGATAATTGCTAAGAGACTAAGTCAATTTACACAAACACAACAATTCATTAACCCATACCATTGTCATAAATTTTTGTTAGGTGAATACTTCTATACTAATCGTAAGATAATTGTCTAAGTTTAATGTATTTTTGTTAAGGGTCATCTATAACTACGTGTTGATTTTTATGTTTTATTCATTATATAAATTGCGAATTGTTGCATTAACCGGAAATTTTTCATCGTCAATGATAATCTGATTTTATATTGGTTAATCTGGTTAACCAATTAACCAAACCGATTAAACTTTAGTTTGGTTAATTTGGTTGTTGTATTAGTTTGGACGGTTTGGTTATGATATTGTATTCCATGGTTAATGGAATTTAGCCTTATTTGGATTGGTTATAACCATGGTAACCATTTGAACACCCCTACATCCTGTAGGTGGGATGAAACTAAAGTGTGGGACTCTAGACCACCTATTTTCTTGATTTCACAGCTTTTAGCTGACTCCTATACTATTTCAACCCTTTAATGAAATAATAGTGGCTATTTATAAAAAACGTTAACAAATGTACAATCATTCTTAATGCAGTTCAAGGCATATAATCATAAAATATCCATTAATCCATAAGAAAGAGTACAATTGTTATTCTCTAACTCTCGTACATTTACTAAATAACAGTTAACTAACATAATATTGTTAACAAGGGGGTAAGTGAAAGAGTGAAGGGAGGATTGAGGGAAATGTATTAGGTTTTGATTTGGGTGACCACTCAATTGCATTTCTATTATTTATTTTCTCGAATTACTTTTAAAATCATAACCACCTCATACCCATCAAAAAAAATTGCGGGTTTTTGCCATATTCATCCAATGCGAAGATTCCTCACGTTGGCTAGGTCAGGACGATCGAATACCAACAATCATAGGTTTGATTGCCATCACTACTTATCACCCGTTCATAAATCTTTCTCGTTGAGAATTTGCCTAAAGCGTTTTACCTTATCGATTCATCACATTAATGATACAGCCTAAAACATTTACCCGTACCCAGTTATTACGGAGATTCCTCGTAGTGAGTGGATCACTACCCACATTCATGAATTTGAATGCCAGCTACTTATCAACTGTTCATAGATCTTTCCCCATCATCTGTCGGTATGAAAATTTGTCGCTTTACCTTATCGATTAATCGCATTAATGATACAACCTAAAACATTGACCAGGTCATCAATGAATACTCATTCTCAACTAGGTAGATACCAAAAACAACTCATATTGACGTGGGACACAAAAGTACTTGAAACTACACAACAGCTCCTTACCTTACATGTACATACACATAACACATGCATCTTCCAAAATGACTAGTACACTTAACTTTAAATCTCCAACTGCCTCTGCAACTCGAGCAGAGTCTTGGCGGAGTCCCTGAGCCGCTGCGCCTCCTCCTCCGTCATGTGCACATTGGTCACGGCCAACGCGCCGCCTCTCCCCAGCAGAGCCGGCAAGCTCAAGAACACCTCTCCTCCGCCTGCCCCCGGTCCAATCCCGTAGAACCCGTTGGCCAGTACAGTGACCGGGTGGATCTTCCTCTGGTTCCTGAGGATCGAAAACGCCAGATTCGCCGCCGAGTAGCCGATCGCCCACGACGTGTAGCCCTTCAATCTGATCACCTCGTACGCGGATCCCACCACCTCCTTGTGGATCCGCTCCAGCGTCTCCTTCTCGCACGGGATCTGCTGCTTCTCCAGGTAGCTCACCACCGGTACCCCGCCCACGCTTATGCTCGACCACAGCGCCACCGAGCTGTCGCCGTGCTCCCCCACAATGTACGCCTGCAAGTACAGGATTGAGCAATTTTGGTCTCAATAATTCGAATTGTTAAATTCTGTTATTTCTCGCCGTTTTCAATTGGAATTTAGCTATGATGTAGAAGTCTTGACATTTTGAATTTTTACCTGGACGTCCTGCGCATTGACATCGATGTGGTCAGCGATCAAGAACCTGAACCGGGAACTATCCAGGTTAGTACCCGACCCAATGACCCGGTTCGAGGGGAACCCGGACAGCTTCCACGCTACATAAGTGAGGACGTCGACCGGATTGGAAACGATCAGGAGAATGGCGTCGGGAGAAAGCTGCGCCAGGGGAGGGATGATTTTTTTGAAGAGGCCGACGTTTCGTTGGAGGAGATTGAGCCTGGACTCCCCGGGGTTCTGGCGGGCGCCGGCGGTGACGATGCAGAGGTCGGATCTGGCGGTGACGGAGTAATCGATCGAGGAGAGGATCTTGGTGCGCGGGAGGAAAGCGGCGGCGTGCTGTAGGTCGAGCATCTCGCCGCGGAGCTTGTCTTTGACGGCGTCGACGAGGGCGAGCTCGTCGGCTAGGTCCTGGGTGAGGATGGTCTGTGCGATGGCCATCCCGACGTTGCCGACGCCGATGACAGAGATTTTGGTGTGCCCCTTTGTGGAGGACGGTGGGGCAGTGTTCTGGATCGGCGTGAAGAAGGACTGGGTTAGGTCCAGGCCGCCCGGCCCCAGCGATGAAGCTGAAGGCACTTTGTGCATTTCTTTTGTTGGAAAAAACTGATTGAGAGCGAAAATGGTGGAGAGGGAGAGATCAGACCAGAGTACTGATTTTGATTGTTTGTTTGGATTGAAGAGAAGAGAGCCGCGGAGATTTATAGTAGGCAGAAGAGAACGGAGTGGGGAAGAAGCAGTTTCCTTCGCTGTGATTTGGAATAGTCAAAATGGTCTGGACTCTGGAAGAGAAGGACTAACTTGAAGACTTTTTTCCCCCAAAAAAGATTGTGGGTCTCACTCACTTGGGGCCGTTGATGCTGCAGCGAACGCCACGTGTCATGAGCGGATCAAATCAGGAAAGCACTGACATCGTGAGAAAGAAAAAGCTAGCGACACTGCAGAGGCATGTCGACCAGCGAATTAAAGTTTAGTAGCGCACGAGCGAATCACGTGGATTAGTGGCTTGCCGCGCGCTCCACGTACAGTATTTTTATTGCAGATTCTTTGTCGTTTTGGTTTCCGGCACCTGCTAATTACGTCGTTTTGTGTACCTGCTGCTAGTGCTAGTTACGCCGTGCCTAACTAGCAAGTGATGATTAAAGGTTGGGAAACAAACAACTACTCTAAACTTTATGCAGGCATGCATATGAGATCAACCTTGAATTAAAAGTCATTTGATGGGTATGATTACTATGTGAACTCCTATAAGCATCATATTCCTCTATAGTCTCTACTCCAAATTTCTTTCTCAGGATTGGCTGGCTAGGACAAGTAATGTTGGAAATTTGATTTAACCGATTTTGATTTAGACGAATCAATTGGACCGGGCTATAAATAAATTAGCATGGGTTGAATTAAATCATTTGTTTGGCCGTTTTGTGGATGGAAGTTTAAATGGAAGCAATGGCCATGAAATGATGCAATGCTTGGCATCATTCTAATCTTCCCAACATAAACTCCAAAAGTCACCACTCATTGATCCATTCGTTGCATGGGTTCATTGCATGGGATAAGGACATTTGGAAACAACGGTTTCATTTTGAATGCAGTGAAACTTCCATTGGCGAGGGATGTTTGCTCCATGGTTCATGGCCTCGGTTCAATGGCTCTAAATAATGGGTGTTGCGGGTGACGAGAAACACACCGAAATTTCATTCTTCTTCTTATTAAACTTCTAAATATGCTTTAGTTTCTTAAGCCTAGATTCTAAAGTGGTGATAGTTTTATCCTACGAAGAAATTTCCTGTAACCATAGGCTTGTTGAGGGTGAAAATATTCTTTACGAAAAGTGAACGTTGGTCACGACTCTTTCATAATCCTGGTCACCCGGTATCAGGCTATCGTACGTGTACCCTCGTCTCGAAAGTCCCAACAATCGTAAAGAATATTATCCAGTACGATGGCTTGAACAACTCTTTACAAGAAACCGGTTCCGGTCTATGGAATTATGAGAATGTTCGATGATGAGATTTTCATCGATGGCAGTAGAAGATGGGTTTTCTTCGTACTAGTCTCATGGTGTATTCCATATCCGGAAGGTAACTTGGCAGAGGGATGATTCGAAGATGAGGAAGAAGGAGAATGATTCGTAAAATGGAGAAATAGAAGAATGACAATTGCCTTTGGCTAGGTCACGTACTCAATGGTTAATTTGTCTAATTCTCTATTCGACATTTACTAAATTCTAGACAAATTTGGATTTGTCTAGTGGTTTGATGGTGTGGTTTTGTCTAAGTGATTTATGTTGGGTTAATTGCATGGTTGGTCACTGAGATTACAAAAAATGTTCAAGTTTGGTCATTCGAAATATTTAAATCCATTGGTGGTACTTCAATTTACTGAAACCGTTCACGTTTGATCACTCTCCGTCCAACTCCATTAACTTTGGCTGATGTGGCAGTCAACTCTCAAAGTTGACCGTTAACTTAGTGACGTGGCAATTAAGAAATAATAAATAAAATTTAATCTATTTTAATGCCTAACTCATTTTTACTATAAAATAAATAAATAATTAAATAAATAATATTACAATTATCAAATTAGGTCTGGGAAATCTACCACCGCGAGTTCGACTCCATCGTCGCCTGCGACGACGGGACCAAAATCAAAGCGAGCCTAATCGTCGACGCGACCGGATTCGGCACCCCGTTCATCCAATACGATGACGTTTACAAGACAAAACCCAGGGACGAAGGGTTCCAGATCGCGCACGGGATCTTGGCCGAGGTGGAGGGCGGACATCCGTTCGATCTGGACAAGATGTTCCTGATGGATTGGAGGGATTCCCACATGGGGAACGAGCCGTACCTCCGATCGGGGAATTCGAAATTCCCGAAGTTTCTCTATGCGATGCCGTTTGGGACTGATTTGGTGTTTTTGGAAGAGAGGTCCCTGATTAGCCGGCCCACGCTGCCGTACAAGGAGTAATTCCAGAAGTAGAGATAAAATCATAGGCCCTGTTCACTTCCATTTTCGTTTCCTGTTTTCTGTTTTCATGTCATAAATTTGGCAACCGAAACGAGAAAACTTGTTTATTTTTCATTCTGTTTTCTATTCGTTTCCAACTATGAAAACAGAAAGTGGCAACTTCCTGCTGTTTTCGGAAACGACGAAATGTTGTTTTCACCTGTTTTCAACATCTGTTTTCTCAAAAACAGGAAACAGAAATGAAAGTAAACAGGGCCATACTCAACCATTTTGACTGTTTGAGCAATTTCCAAGTGTAAAAGTTCTTCCATTATGTGTTATCTAGCTATGGATGGAGAAGAGGGAGAGTTCGTTACCTTTTTATGGATTTCTTCAAAGATACGTGAGCAGAAAGATTCTTCATACTGCAGTCGATCAATCCCACCATGTTGAACCTTTTCCCCAACAACGAATCATGCATCCGCTTATCTAAATATCTTTGATTCGAAAATTCAGTTGCATTGCTAATACCCAATCTCGCAGAACAAATCCATATTTTCGGAACTGAAAGCAACGATGGAGCATTAGTATTGAACCCTCTAAGCGAGAACAATAAGTAAATTCCAACATAGAATCTGCGAGACAATAAGGAAAGGGAGTGTTGATCTGCAAGGGCGAAATTATGTATGGGTGGCATAGAGAAGGAGCAGAGAAGACCAACATTGACTCTGCCCTTTATGATTGAATCACAATTGCGCTTCCTTCTTGAAACAGTGAGATAACTACGATGATAGCTGGAAAAAACATTATTTTCCTTCATTGTTCAATGATGCTCTTCCCTCCTGAAAGAAAAGGGATTTTTCATGAGTGGCGTAATCAACAAAGAGTAACCATTTGTTGGAAGAGGCATACACGAAACAAAAGCATTGGAAAAAAGTCAACAAAGCATTGAAGTTAAAAACTCACCATTGTGTTTTTATGGTTCTTTCATGTTTACAAAACTGATGAAGAGGTAATCTTCCATTCTGTATACACTCTCCCCTACCCCTAAGTAGTAATACAAACGATTAGCTGACCACAACTTAAGCTGGTTCACACAGAATCTCACCATCAGTGGCGGAGGCAGGATTTGAAACTACCCCTGTCCTTTTTTTCGTATTATAAATATATAAATATTTAATAAATATAATTAAATTAATAATATCTGAATAATTTATTTTCATATATAAAAATAACGACTAATACAATCGGTATATTCATAAACAACCATGATGAATTTTCATATTCTTAAAGAAACATAAAATATACTCTTAAGTAAGTCCTTTCCAATGGATCCCACTACACAATCATTAGCAAACTGGTTGTGAATTTAATTTCAGAGTTCGTTCTTGATATAGCTCAAAGTTGAAAATATTTTATCTACACTTGCCGTCAAAACTAGTGGAATCTACGCTACCACTGGACTGCTTCAAGATTGCTGGGAAAATAATCAAATAGACATATGAAAAAAAAAAAAGATATATTCCAATTGAGATTTGGTTTATAGTATAATAAATTAATTTAATATCAATTTATGATCAAGTAATGAATTGTGATATAGTATCAAAATACGTTGTACTAGGTGTCGTGTTCCATCCTTAACAAGCATAAACATATATGGATTATTTTGTTCCTCCCAAAATTTACCCCTGTCCCGTGACAAGGTCCAACTGGGCTGGCTCCGCCTATGCTCACCATTAATAAATTCCAGAACTCGGGAAAGAGAATAAGCAAATCAAATATGAAATTCCTTCTTACCACAACATTAATGCAAAGGCAAGTGAGAGTTGACAAATCCACCAAGTTTGAGGGAAGGAAGCAGAAACCACACAAAACACCTGATGCAAAACCACCACCAGGGAAGATACCTTCGCCAAAACAGGTGCATCAAACAACCCATAACGAAACTTGAACCCAAAACAAACAACAAATGATATAACTTTGTTCTATCTTCATCAGAGCAACTAACCATCACACTTTCGTCCACCTATGGTGTTCATCATGTATAGACATCATAAAAGTTATTGAATCCCTATAACTTTAAGCAGAAGTTATAAACTTGCCTTACAATGCAAAGCCAAGCACGTGAATTCCTCCATATTAAGCATCCAAGCAGTTCGGAAGTGGCATGCTAAGGAGACATGTAGGCTATTGAGACTGACATCATTTTGTAGGAATTAATCACGACCTTTGGCTGATTATCCAGAGAAATAAATCATTAGAAGGAAGCTAAGAACACCATGTCCGGGTAAGTGTGAAGCGAGAAACTTCCGCGTGGAACTAAAAGCCACAACGGAGAAATAAGCTAAGGACACATTATTCAAAACCAAACCTGTCGAAAGAAGGCATCAATACCAACTGGAAACTGTACTTAAGTTCTTAAGATCTTGATTGGGATTCGAATGAATATATTAAGAACATTGAAACTCAAAACATGGCATGCCAAACAACTTATGCCAATGTGGCAAGATGCAGAATGAGATAGTAATTGGGGAACACAACACAGGTAGAAGGAGCCAATCACTACAAACACTCATTCTATGATGTGTAGAGGAAGGTGTGAACTAAATTCACTTATTCTATGATGTGTAACCACCTGGTCTTCTGAAAGCCGATGATATCATATCATCAACCCATCGAATCGATCCATGTACTGTAGAATTTAAATTTGAGTAGTAGTTCTAGAACCTCTCGGTAGCTAATATGGAAACAAACAAGGGAACCAGGGTACTATGGGTCTTACTCGCGGATACATAATGATGATGATTAGCAATAACAGCAGGTCGTCAATGCTCGGAGACCAGGCATATTATGTATTCCTGTAAATTGACAATATATGAATTAGAAATGAAATCATCATCAAAGAGAAACCAACCATGCAAAACATAATAGTAACAAATCACCAAACTGATCATAACCAAACCTCTCATTAAGTAGAGATTCATTTTAAGCCAAAATTGCACAGCACTCTAAAACGGAGAAATCCATTAACGGTAAAAAAAAAAAAAAAAAAAAACAAATTAGATGGAAAGATGATGATACAGGGTTTCACTGAATGCACCAAAAAATATAAAGAACCATAAAAGAAAAATATATCAGAGTGGACCACTGACTATCAGCTTGAAGCAACGTATATAGGAAGGTGAAGAATAAGGAGAAGGCAGCAGAAGGACTGAACTATAAAACATAAGCATGTATAAAAACAATTTGGCAAGTGGCAACCTAAAGCGAAACAATTCCAAGGGCCTGGACATAGCAAAAGAGTATGCATTAAGAAGCTAACCTTGCCACTAAATTGCAAGTAGAAGAGGGTTCTGATCAACTTCATGCTGCAAATTGGGCATGTTTCTCTTTTGAATACATCGGCTACCCTGCACTCCTCCGATGGCTCTACTGGAACTGGTTCCAAACCTGCAAAAGATGGCTCTTTTGAGTACTTTTGTGAAAGTGGACCCCTGCTGGTTGAACTATCGAATTCATGAACATTGATAACACTATATTTGAACATGTTTTTCCTATCATTTCTTGATCGTTTGACTCTAGTTTATCGCTCTCGTGGCACGTTTAACGCTTGTGTGTGTTAGTTTATGATGTTTCGGGCCTTAGTGCGTGAACGGGTGGGAAGGAGCGAGATTCGGGACATTCTGAAGCGAACGGGCCGCGAGCACCTGAGAGTTATGGCCAGACTTTGCAAGTAACAGTCTGGCTCATAAATTCCCTCAAGGAGCCGTAACTCTGCAGTGGCCAGTGAGGAGTGCCAAGGAGTCCAGTAGCTATCTTCAAGTTACGGCCAGACTCTTCAAGTTACGGTCTGGGCCATAACCGCTTCCCCTTGCCCGTAACTCAAAGGAAGCATATGATCTAGGTTCCAGAAGCGATCTTGGAGTTACGGTCCCCCTCTTCAAGTTACGGTCGATGCCGTAACTCTTGGTTTACAGAGTGTAGTAATAACGTCGTGTGATGGAGAGTTACGGGCGGGCAAGCCAAGTTAAGGCCGTAACTTAGGCCGTAACACGCGGATTCTCAGCTTATAAAAGGGCTGCTCGGGAAAAAGGCAAAGGATCCGGATTTTCTGAGTTCTAAAGGCAGAAAAAACCCTAGAGAGAGTGACGAAGAACAACCCTTGGGCAAGTATTTGAGCGATCTGAAGTCTTCTTATTGTCGCCCGGAGCAGATTCTCATTGTCGTTTTGATGATTTCTTCTCCGAGCATGACGTTCTCACATCTCTCCATGGAATAATTTTCCATTTCATCTGGGTATGAAGAACCCTAGTTGTGTATGTTAGGAATGATTGTATGAACCCCATTTGCGAATGATTGATTTGATAAATTCAACACCGATTCAACTTGCGCAACAAAATGTTATCAACCGCGGCCTGACAACATTTGGGAAGATAGAATGAAAGAATTAGAAAACAGAGAATAAATTAACTTATGGATAATTACAAAGGGTGACATGTTAGATGAAAAATTTTGCCGACATCGGGCTCCACTCGCTTAACAAAATGTACACCCGAGTCGATCTTGTAAGTTAGAAAAACTTGTAAAACTTGTTGTCGATGGAATACTCATCAAACCGCGGTTTGATAGAATAAAATAATCAGAAAAATAGAAAATAAATTAAATCCACGGATAATTACAAAAGGTTGAAATGTTAGATGAACAATTTCGATGACAGCGAGTTCCACTCGCTTAACAAAATGTACACCCGACTCAATCTCGTAAGTTAGAAAAACTTGTAAAACTCATTATCGACGAAATACTCGTCAAACCGCGGTTTGATATAATAAAACAATAAGAAAAATAGAAAATAAATTAAACCCATGGATAATTATAAAGGTTGACATGTTAGATGAACAATTTTGTCGACATCGGGTTCCACTCACATAACAAAATCCACACCCGACTGAATCCCGTGAATTAGAAGCGTGTGAAACTTGTTGCCGACACAAAATTTTGTGGACATCGGGTTTAACTCGCTTAACAAAATGCACACCCGACTCAATCCCATCAATTAGAAAAACATGTAAAACTCGCTGCTGCAGCAAAATGCATCAACCCCGGCTCAACCTGCTCAACAACATCAACACCTGGGACAATCCCATAAATTAGAAAATTGTGTAAAACTCGTTAACGACGCAAAACTCGTAAACACCGCACTTCCACAACATTTGCGAAGTATAGAACTTATGGCGAGACAAAACTCGCCGACACCGCAGTTTGACAATCTTTGAGAAGATAGAATAGAATAACCGACTCAATGCCATGAACTCGCTGCAAAGCAAAACTCATCAACCACAGGTTTAACTCGCCAATCCCGTAAATTAGAAAAACGTTAGAAACTCGTTGCCGATGCAAAATTCGTCAACACCGCATTTTGACAACCTTTGGAAAGATAGAATAAAGACATTAGAAATATATATAAACTAAACTTATGGTTAATTACAAACAGTCACATATTAGATAAATAAAATTACAAAAGGGTCACTCCTTAAATGTGTTAGATAGGGGTGGAAATTGGGTAGGTGTGGTTACCCGCCCCACATTTTGCGGGTACCCACACCCACAAATTTACAATTATGCTACCCGCACCGCAGTGGTTAGTGGGTAACAATTACCCAATGTAGGTTGGGTGTGGTTACCCCCAAAAATCCATATTTGCAAGAAGGGAGTTGAGGCCCCACTAACGTATTTGTTGTTCGTAGCTAGACTATAGGGATATACAATTGTGTTGCGTGGAGATACAATTTTGTATATTGATCTTACTCAACATATTGATTTTTCTTTCGAGTTTGGTATTCAACTTTTGCGTCAGGAAGCTGTGATTTCATATTTCAATGACTAGGGATGGAATATGACAATTAAATTTGATCTTGTATTTTCTTTCACACAAAAACAAAAACATACAGATAAAAGTTACTAAAGCTGTCAACTTTTAATGAATTGATTATTCTCCACTCTCTCGATTATAGTGTTTTATCAACTAAAAAATTCTCACATAAAACTGCTTAGGTGCGTATTTGATTTTGGACTTTAATTTTTGCCCTCCTATTTTTCACATACTATTATATTATAAAGTTAATACAATAAATAAATATAATTAGTGTGGTTATGGTTACCCACTCCGAACTCTCTACCCACAACTTGTGGGTATGGTTACCCACATTGGTTGCGGGTTGGTGCGGTTTGCAGGTTATCCATAACCCGCAACCCAAACTTCTACCCATAGACTGTTAGGTAAGCACAATTACAAAAGGGTCACTCCTTGAGTGTGTTAAATAAACAAAATTACAAAAATGTCACTTCTTGTTATGCGACTTTATGAAATAGTAACTTTGAATGTGTTCTTTAAAGAATAAAATAAAATTACAAACGGGTCACTCCTGAATGTGTTAGGTAAGCAAAATTACAAAACAATCTGTGATGTAAGTATGTAACTCTATAAAATAGTAAATTTGAACTTTTTCTTTTATTAATTAATTAACTATGGGTTGCCCTTAATTATTAGGTTTAAAGACAAGACAAGACAAGACAAGACTATCATGTGTAGTGTACAATACGTTTCTGCATTGTAAGTCACATGTGCCTTCTATAGCCTTTATATAGCTAGCTAGCTAGATGCATGCATGTACGTTGCAAATGCAAAAGCCTAGTTCCATTTCTACAGTATACACACTATATTGTACAGGCGCTTCTCAGTCTTACCTCTTAATCCGATAAATTATGCAACATCTGGTGAAATTATGCAAGTGGCCCCTATGTACAATAAAATTTTTTGGACCCAGGGCAATGAGTCAATTTATTAGGTAATTCGACCCAATTGATATATGACACATGTATTGAGTGGGATCGAAATAGACTCATTCGCACTTTTAATGGTTTTGTGTTTGGGTTAGATTTGAATCAAGTCTTACTTGGTTCAATTCATTTGGGATTTTGGGTTACACCCCAATGAAACTTATTGGGTCTAGATTACTCATGATTATACAAAAAAAAAAAAAAATAACATCAACCAATTCATGAACTACCTTCAACCCAATTAGTCACCTTTAGTGTATGAGCTTCCACAAAATTGTTTTATAATTGGATATCTATTTCTATGGACTTTCAATATTATGAGTCCAATCCAATTTACACCCAAACTAAAAAAATTGGACATGAATATGTCCCACAAGCAAAATTATCAAATTTTGGGTAATAAATTGAATTTGGACAATATCCCAAAATATTTGGTCCTAGAATTTGTTATCGATGAACATGATGCCAAAATATGAGTTTGAGAGAGAGAGGCTAGTAGCCCACTAGGGGAAGGTAGGGATATGGGCCTAAGCTTATGGAGAAAGTGGGGACTGATCGGACCAGCGACAAACCTGCATAGGCGAATATCGAATTATACATGAAAGTCAATCCCAAAGATCTATATATAATTAAATGACACTCTTGTGGTTGAGGGTTGTGTAGTAGTGAATGAGAGAGTCTAGTTGAGAGGATAAAATACACACTAGCTTATATTTCGGTATTGATCGGTATTTCGGTATATACCGATCCAAATCTCGTAATCCCTAATACCGAATTACAATTGAAATTCAATCCCAATCCCAAGAAATAATACGTGTATTCGATAATACAAAATTTAGACAAATTCGATATATCCCAAATACCGGTACCAAACTTCCAGCTCTAGCTGCCACGTGGCATGTCAACCCATGTGGCTCTCTATATGTGATTAGGATGAGTGCAAGGGAGTTGGGATTCAACGTGTAGGGATTAAGCAACCAGAACAAGAAAATCGATACTTCAATCCCTAATGGTATCACTTCCGGACCAACTTAAAATGATTCTTACCGCCGATCTAAAATGACTGCAGTAGGACTTAGGAGTCAAGACTCGAGATGCTAGTAGTTAACTAGTTATGCTTGGAGAAAAGAGAATATACCGCGGAAAGGGACACAAGACTCGAGAGAGGAGACAGGCCGGAAATAATATGCTTCAGAGTTAACTTATGACCGGGCTGGGCGAGGTCAGTTGGGCTTCCACTAGTTAGGGACGAAAACTAAACAGTACAGAATAGTCATAAACGATTTGTTTGTTTTGCGCAAAACTGAAACAAACACAGAAGGCACTTCAGCTCTACCTTGATTTATTGATAAATTGTTACGCCAACGCCAGGCAGAAGGCCAAGTCATTTTCCAACTTGAATAATTAACTAGATAGACAAGTTCTGGGAAGTTTCTATACAAGATATATAATATACCCTATGCACAGCACAAGTGTCTCCCACCAACGAGCTTGATAGATAAACAGGGGAACTTATGGAGGCTCCGCAGCAATTTGGGACGGCTCTAATGCTGAATCTTCGTCCCAAAAGTGTTCTCGCCGCTGTAAGTGACGTACAGAAACCCGTCTTCATCCTTCTTCTCTTCATATATTGAAGACATGATGGCACCTATATTGGATGAAGGCCACAGAAACACGGAAAAGACAAAGGGAGGGAGGAAGAAAAGAATCAGAACTGCATAATGTTGATAGCAAATTGTGCAATGGTAAGTGCTTACCGGTTGGTGGGAGGACATTGTCGACGAATATAAAGATTGCCTTCTCAGCGCTCAATTTGATTCTCTTTCGGATAACATAAACAAACTGTCCAACAGTCAAGTCAGCTGGGACAAGGTACCTGCTAATACAGACAGTGTCAATTCATATACAAAAGAGGCATTCTAATAGAAGCTACGGAGATCTAACAGGAAGGAGATCTCGTGTAAACTTGAACATGAAAGACAATCATCAGAATACATACTTTTTCTTATCTATGTTTGGTATTTCGCTTCTCTCTGCCTTCTCTACAATGACCTTCAACACAAAAGGAGAACCGTCGGGGAAGTCAGCAACCAAGAACAAAACAAGACAATTTCATATTTGATTCAGGCAATTCATAGCAAGCTTCAACTTTCAACTGATTTAAGCATCCCAGAGCAATAATAGTCTCATTTAATCGTGCAACAAAAATATACATTGAGGATAAATGAAGTTGTGTGACCCCAGAATAAGCAGATACCAAAATAATATAATGCCTGCACCAGTTCAGATTTGTCTTTGATCATTTCTAAAATCGCAAGGCCATGTTCTAAAGCACGACATAACAAGCTAAATCGCAAACTATCTAGCTGGCGATATTCCTAGACTCGAGTTACCCCCATAAAGAGTTAATAAACCATCAATGCAAAGCAGTAAAGGGAAGACAAATTTAACGTTTCAGTATCATGATCAGCACCGAATTCTCACCGGAATTCTATCTGGGTATTTCTCCCTAATCCTGGCAGCCTCGGCTTTTCTCTTCTCTGAAAAAACAAACACACCAGCATTTGACTGTCAAAACCTACCTTGATATGAAACATACAAAACAGACCTTAGCCTCAACTTTAACACATACCATGATCATGTTCTTGCTTGAAGCAACTCTTAGCCATCCCTTCCTGCACCTGATCAGCACAAAAGTAAATAGACAAGCTAAGACTTCATCCAGCCAAACAAAACCCTGTAAAGTTTTCTACTTCTATGTTCTACAAACAATTCCATTACTGGCCAGAATCTCAATTAACTGACTGCCCACCTAAAATCACAATCAAATAAGTAGACGCACTAATCAATTCAAGAGATTACGCTCTTCTTCCTCTTGCTTCGATCATCCAAAAGAAGCGAAGCCGAACAATTTTAAGCATCTCAAGTCAAAACCGCACGAACCCGAAATAGAGATTTTAGGCGAAATAATTCGTGAGCTGTTCAGCCGATTGTTCGACAGAAACACAGCAAATTCAGAAACTTTGAAAGGAATTCCGATTCCCAACTAAGAGATAGCGCATGTAAAAGCGCAGACCTTGTGGAAACCAAGCCGAGGCACGCGAGCGGAGAAGACGAGGGTGAAGGCGAAGAGGCAGAAGAGGTTGACTACTCTGATCGGAACTCTGTTAACAGCTGGTGAGTGGTGGCTCGGTTGGTTTTTTTGGCAGCCGATAATAGGAAAAACCTCACCAAATTTTATGCCTTTATCCAAAATCGAGGAGTAATTCATCGATTATGAGGCCAGAAATAAATTATAAAAAGGGTTTATAATTGAGGAAGTTTACTCTGTGTTTGCGTCCCACGTTACTCCAGACTTGGATCTCAAGCCGGTAGATGGATCCAACGGCTGTAATACGATTAAGTTACGTGGTGGGGCGTGTGAATGATGATGTGGCAAGCGGATATTCCTCGTTCACAAAGAATCAAACATGTGGCGTGGCGTGGCGCGCGTCACGTGAAGATGTCAACAACAACAAAGATTAATCAAGGCCGAATAACTAGGGCTGCAAATGAGCCGAGCTGCTCGCAAGCGGCTCGACGTTCGACTCGAGAAAAGCTCATTCGAAACTCGACTCGTTAATAAACGAGTTGAACACAAGCTCACCTTTGTTCAACTCGTGAAGCTCGCGAGCTAGCTCGACTCAGTGGTTTGTTGAGCTAAACTCGTGAGCTGACACGTTTAGAGCTCATGATATGTCTTAACATGTGGCTAGAGAGCCAACTCGATTACCAACTTATGGACAAATCAATATATATCTTATGATTTTAATTCAAATGGTTGTTAAATTATATATCTCTTTTTTTTTTTAAAGATGGTTGGTTGTTTCATTAATACGAAACATGGTGTACAAAGTTTTAACAACATTGAAAGGAAGGAAAAAACCAGCTGAACCAAGATTGAAAAAAGGAGGTGAACCAACACATGCCCAAAACCGTAAAGTCCCAAACCCCAGTCCAAAACAAGTGGACAAGCCCACCCCCATCAACCCTAACAACAACTAGCCCAATCACCAGAGAAAAGGTCGCCGTTCACATCCTCCACTGTAGAGAGAAAACCGGCAGCGACATCCCTGCCAACCCTTGATCAAACGCCGAGGAGCACAAGGGCTCCACAAGAGAGACGAAGCAGCAGCAGCAACCTCACCGAGGAGAACCAAACCCAGAATTAACTTTGAGATCCACCTGCACACACAAGCAAACCAGAAAAGCTCAACCGGGTCTTGGACAGAGGAGGGGTGGCTGAAACCCGCCGATCTGAGCGAACGACTGCACTCCCAATCTCAAAGATAACTTCCCTTGCTCACAAGCCCTCTAAAAACTCATCCAAGACAACAAAAGTCCATGCATCTCCGAATCATCCCCATTTATGGATGAAACAATAGGAGGTAGATGAAGAACCAGAGAGGAGTAAGCGAGCCGATGAAATCGACTCCCTCAAACACCTACCAAGAGAGTCATCCACACATATCTGAAAACCAGAATGGTGGGAAGCAAAAGTATCTCCACAAGGGAGACAAGAACGACATCATCACCAAGGATGGAAGAGGAACAGAACTAGGGAGGAAAAAAAGAGGAGAAAATGAAACCACAGGCCTGGAAATGAAACCGCAACAAAAGAAAAAAGAAAGAGAAAGCCAAGAGGAGCAAACACTACAGGAAAGCACAAGGAAAAGGAAAGCAGGAAATGAAAATCTCTAGGGCCACCGTCGGTCCCATGGTAGAAGCCGACGGCAGCCCCATCTCCAATTTGAAATTGAAACTCTAGTGAGAAGCGAGAGGAAAGTAAAGGTAGAGAGAGAGGCTAAGAGTTTTTTTCTATCTTCTCTTTTAAAATTATATATATCACCATATATAAAGTTTAACACTTTGAGTATGTGAGCAAATATATCTTATTTTCTATTTCAAAAAGAAATTATGCATCATAGATTGCTTTGATACTATGAAATAACATGATTTGGAGTAGTTAAAATTTATTAACTAAATGATATATGATACCAACAAAGTATAATATGAGATTAGCTAACAAAATAAATCATGTGTATCATGATATATAAAATGAAGTACCATAGAAGTTAAGATTTTAATAAACAAGCTAGCTCGAGCTCGACTCGGCTCATTTATTAACGAGCCGAGCTCAAACTGGGGTAAAACTCGACTCGACTCGACTCATTTACAGCCCTACGAATAACATACTATTGTTATAACGGGCCCATGGGCCTACCGTGGACAAAGGTTGTGGGCTCCTTCCTCCAATTTTCAGTTTTCCCGCCACTGATTGGGAATTTGGAATTGTGTGCGAATCATATAGGCTGCCACGACCCAATTGGTATGGCAAATGTGAAATTGATTATACCGTTGGGCCCGTTTAGCAAATGAAATGGTTGGCCATTAGTATAACTGATTTGTGCCGGTTCATACCGATTAATATTTTATGTAGAAATGACAAAATCATTCATGTCAAATAAATTTAATCATTTATAAATCATATATGAAGAGAAATGTGATATTTCAAATAAACTTACATGCACTTAGGCCTGTCAATTTGGTTTGGTTTGGTTAACCAAACAATTAAGTATGAAAATCCAAAAACCAAATCCCAAAAACCAAAATCAACACCATTAAGGCCTTTATTGGTTTTTGGTGCCAAAAACCAATAAAGGCCTTAATGGTGTTGGTTTTGGTTTGGATAACCAAAAAACCAACATGTACTCATACACTCATATTTATTCCTATTTCCCTCCTTTTTATTGAATAAACGTCATAATAATGGTAAATGACCATTACAAATTATTGGTTGGCATGCGTGTCAAAAGAAACAAAACAAAAATATTTGTTGATAAATAATTTTATTCTCATTGGTTTCTTAATGATTTCTATTGGTTTTTCGGTTTTAACCAAACCAAAACCATTAAGTTGCTTATTGATTTAAAACCAAAAAACTGAAACCATTAGCTTTCCAATTGGTTTGGTTTTGGTTAAAACCAAATGGACAACCCTACATGCACTCATATTTAAATTCACTAAAATGACGTCATTTTACTTAGAAATTCGTAGATCAATCATGTCGATTTCATTACCGGCACCGATTGAACCAGGTTCAACCGGTGGCATGTCGACCGCGTGAAAACCATGGATAACACTATAGGGATAGTATTTGGGTTGAGATTTTATCCAAAAATCTCATATTTGTTAGATTATGATTCAAGTTCATGTTTGGTTACAATATGAGATTTGCGTACTTCTAGTCAATATATATTTATTTTTTAAAAAAATTTATGAACTCCAAGAATTATAAAACCTCAAGGTAGAAGGATTTTGGAAGAGAAAAATCTATTAGGTGAAACTAGTATTCTCTTATTTTTTATTTTTTCTGTGAGTTTGAGTTTCTACTTATATTTATTTGTCCTAATTATCTATTATCAGAGCCTCGTCTAATAGAAGATGACAAGATTTAGTGTAAGTTTGGCCAGGATTAGCAATAATATCAAATAATAAGAGTTGTGATTTCATCATCAGTTCGGATATAATATTCTCGACAATTTGATATGGGATTGACCAACAGTTTCAACTTTCAATTTTATTATTGATTCAACTTTACATATTGTGCATAGTATTCATTGAATTTTTATTTTGTGTATCTAAATGTTCGGGCCAAGATATCATGAGCATCTAACATTTCCTTCAAAGAGTTCACAACTATTTCACATAGAGAATTCTATTTATATTTAAGACCTAATTCCACTAGGAAGCCCAAACTATTCTAAAAGTGTCATTTGTGTCCTAAATTAATCAATATGGCAAATCTGGCACGAACTATATGTGTTGCGTGACATTTGTGTACTAAACTTATTCAATATGACAAATCTGGCACAAACCACATAAGTGCTAACTAGATTTTTTGATAAACACTAACGGTCCACGCCGGTTGATTCGGGTCCAAATGTACACATTTTACCCCTCATTTCTTATTCGTTTAGCTTAGTATTTCATCGTTCCTCGACATATTTCACGCTAGGTTGTGCTTGTTTTGATACATTTCAGGTCCTAGCACGTGTGGAAGAGTCAAGGTCGAATTTTGGGATAATTGGAGGTCAAAAAGAGCAAGAACCGAAGAAAAGTCCGAAGTCCCAGATGAGGCAGTTCACGGTCTCCTAAGACCGTGAAATTCGACCAAAAACCGTGAATACCGAGGCGTCCAGCGAGGTTCCTGAAGTTACTGACGACAAGGCAGTTCACGGTCTCTAAGACCGTGAACTATGGCCATTGACCGTGAACCCAAGACAGTGAAACGGTGCGTTTCGGATGACGCTGAGTTCACGGACGCGTTTAGGTGTTCATGGCCGTGAACTGGTCACTTTCGGGCAAATATGAAGACAGCAGCGGGGAGAGAGAAAGGAGAGCTGGTTTTTGGAGAAGAAACATTTTCTTTCTCTAGGGTTTCAACCTAAAACACCAAAGGGGAGTTCTAGTGAGAGAGTGTTAGAGTGATCTTGGAGCATCATTGGAGGTTTGGGTGGAAGATTCAAGCCTAGAAGAACAATGTGAGAACTACGGATCTAGGCGTGCGAATTAGGGATTAAACGAATTAGGGATTGGGAATTTAGGTGAGAGAGAAGGGAAATTTGGGATGAGAGAGAGAGCAGAATCGGGTTCTCGAGTTGGGAGCCGCCGAAGGTGAGAGGGAAGGAAGGGGGTCGGCCAAGGTGAGTTGAGAAAGAGAGAGTTGGGAACAATTTCTGTATTATTGCTTGCCCTTGACCTAACGTAACATCATATATATATAACCCGACTAAGTACTGTTTACTACCCGAATAATTAACCTAACCGAATGAACCCCTACAATTCCCCTATCTGACAATATCCGAATAATACGTAAATAATAAATAGACTCTCAACAATTATGTTTCTCACAATCCATCCCCCTTGAAACCCACCTTGCCCTCAAGGTGGTCCATGGGTCTTGTCATCCTCTTTCTTGTCCTCTCCTTCAGCGCCCCGCTCCATTTCCTCGCCTTCATCCTCCCAATTCCCGACTAGCAGCATTAAGTGGCTCTTGGCGCACTGGTGGCCCACAGTATACCTCTCATCACAGTTGAAACAACGCCCGTCCCGGCGTTTCTGGTCCATCTCTGCCTGAGTCAGCCTCACGAACCCACGCGGTGGTGCTCTGGCCGGAAATCGAGTCCCGACCGTGGTCCCCGTCGCCGGAGGGCTTGCTGCCGCCGCCGGTGCTCCCGCCCCCGTACCGGCTCCGCCACCTACTCCCCCACTGGCCTTCTGTATCATGCCCACAGAGGACCTCCAGCTTGCTAGCTCCTCTTCCTTCCGCCCTGCAATTCTAAAAGCCACCCGGAGAGATTC